GACGGTATCTGACAACAGTGCCAGAAGATTCATCCCTCAAGTTGGAAGGCACTCAAAATATGATTCAGGAAGAGCTGTCTCTTTAGAGTTGACCATAGTGACATGAATGGAGTAAAACTTTGGGGGTCTTCACTTGCTGGTAAGGCATGACTCGAAGGAGAAGAAATGGCTGTAAATAGTCATTAATCAGAATGTGGAATGTACGAAGCATGAATCTAGGAAAATTAGAAGTCATCAAAAATGTAATGGTGGAACACTAAGATATCCAAGGTATTTGTGAGCTGACATGGACTGGAATTGGCCATTTTGTGTTGAACAATCTATTCAAGAGGAATGGCATCACATTTATTATTCAAAAGAAAATTTCAGAATCTTAAAGTATATGCTCGCTATAATAGGATAATATGCATACACCTACAGAAAACACCAATTAATGCAACTTTTATTCAAATGTATGCACCAACCGCCAAAGCTAGTGATGAAGAAATTGATGAAATGATGCTGATTTATGCAGTCTGAAATTGATCAAACATACAGTCAAGATGCATCAAGCATACTTGGTAACAGGTGCCAAAGTTGGAGACAACCAGGAAGGATCCAGCATTTTTTAGAAAATACAGTCTTGGCAATAGACAAGATGGGTCATATAATAGTATTTTGTAAGATCAACAATTTCTTCTTTGCAAAAACTATTTTCCAACAATATAAACAGCAGACCTCACCAGAGGGAATACACAAGATTCAAACTGACTACATCTGCAGGAAGAGGCAAAGCAGCAGCTCAATATTAACAGCCAAAATGAGCCCATGGGTCCTCTGTGCAACCGACCATTACTGCTCATATGGTCATTTAAGTTGAAGCTGAGGAAAATGAAAACAAGACCATGAGAGCCAAAACATATGGTTTTGAATGCATCCCACCTGCACTAGAGAATGTCTCAAGAGCTGCTTTGAGGCACTGAATTCTAAAGACCAGACGGCAAGCACATTGTGGGATGGCATCGAGAACATCACATGTGAAGAAAGCAAAAGGCTGTTGGAAAGATAAAATAGTAAAGACCACGTGGACGTCAGAAGAGACTCTGAAACTTGCTCCCGAATAGTTAAAACACATGGAAGAAATGTGAACGGAAAATTTCAAAGGGCAGCTAGAGAGACAAAGTAAAGCACTACAATGAAATGTGCAGACTTGGAGTTACAAAGTCAAACAAAAGAACATGCTCAGCATATCTAAGGTTTAAAGAACTGAAATTTAAAAATCCAAGCCTCAAGTTGACACATTGAAGGATTCTATTGACAAAATATTGCATAATGAAGATGGAATATCTTCCATCAATAGAAGATGGAAGGAATCCAAAGAGAATTGGTCAGTATTCAACCATCTCAGGAGGTAGTGTATGATCAAGAACCTATAGAATTGAAGTCAAAACTGCACTAAAAGCTTTAGCCATAAACAATTGGTCTAGGAATAGACAGGATACCTGTAAAAAGATTTCACCTAATTCACAATATAAAGTTTTGTTTTCCTAAATGTACAAAATTTAAACTTATTCAAAGAGAAGAACAAATTGATTTGTAAATGTTTGAAAAGATGAGAATAAATATTATCATTAACTTGGTAGGTGCACTGTGGGAGGCCACATGAACCAGAAACCTGTGGTAAGAGTCACTGTAACATTAAGACTAAGAAGTCACTGTAACATTAAGACTAAGAAGAAAGGCCTGGTGATCCCATTCTGAAAACCAGTCAATGAAAAACTCTATGGATCACAATGATTCAATCCTATTGTGCACGGGGTCTGGCCCGACAGCAGCTAACAACAAAGAGTACATTTAAAAAAATAATTTTATGGGGGCTCGGACAGCTCTTATCACAATCTATCCATCCATCCATCCATTGTGTCAAGCACATTTGTACATTTGTTACCATCATCATTCTCAAAACATTTTCTTTGAACTTGAGTCCTTGGTATCAGCTTCTCATTCCCTCCCCACCAGCCTCCCCCACCTTCCCTCCCTCACAAACCCTTGATAATTTAGAAATTATTATTTTCTCATGTCTTACACTGCCCGATGTCTCCCTTCACCTACTTTTCTGTTGTCCATTCCCCTGAGATGGGGTTATATGTTGATCATTGTTATCGGTTCCCCCTTTCTCCACCCACCTTCCCATTACCTCAATAATTGGCTACTCTCAATATTGGCTATTCTCAATATTGATCCTGAGGGCTTTATCTGTCCTGGATTCCCGGTGTCTCCAGCTCTTATCGGTACCCTTGTACATGCTCTGGTCTAGGCAGATTTGTAAGGTAGAATTGGGGTCATGCTAGTGGGGGTAACAAGAGTACATTTAACATAGACTATAAACCCAAAGCTTTCATAATAGGATTCTCAAAACTCACCGCCATCAAGTCAATGCCAAATCATTGTCACCCTATAGCAGGAGCCCTGCTTTCTACTCCCACAAACAGTTACACTCTCAGAAACCTACCGAGGCAGGTCTATCCTGTCCTATGGGGTCACTATAAGAATGAATTTATAATAGATTAAGTTGTCCATGTTCTCTAGAAAGAGGTCTTGCTCCCTTAGCTATGCAGCCCATGGTCACCCTCTAGTGCCCCAACCCTCAAACAACAGCTGGTGTTACCAAACAAACAACCAGGTTAGCCTTGGAAAGGGTGTGTTCAATGTCAGATATTGAATCTGACCAGGTCCCAAACCCTGCCAATTAGTACTTGGTCTTTTAGGTCAGCACTTCTCAAATGGTAGTGTCCTTACTTACCAGTTACTGGGACTCTTGTTAAAACACAAGACGTCTTCCGATGGTGATCTCACTTGGAGTAGCAAGATGTCAGGTAATTCTTTTTATCATTCCATCTCTTTCAAATGTAGCATTTCAAATTCCTAGAAGAAAAAAATTACAGGATTAAACTAAGTGCTGTTTGCTTTCTCCTGTGGACATATGCACAGTTAGAGAAATCAAAGCTGCAGTTCACGGGAATTTCGTTAATGAGCCCATCAGTATTGTTCTTCCAGGCAAAGAGACTCAGTAAGATTACCAAAGAGCCGGTACAGCAATCCCTATATTCCTTCCACTTTAATATAACTTAAGACGCTGTGCTAAACGGAATAGATATCTCTGAAGTAATAAAGACTGTATAAGTTAATCACTGTTCATAGTTCAAGATTCAAGACATTTTGGGCCAGAAAATGGCATGGTGGTCAATTACTAGACCAGCAGTGGCAATGGAGTCAGCATCCCTGCAGGCCCTACTGAGTAGTCATTCCAGTGAGTTTTATATTCAAGAGCTATTTAGAGGCTCGCATGGAGAAATCAATGCATTGTTTCACCAGGCATTTATGAATAGATCAGGCACTTACCAAAAGATAAAACAAATATAAATGTCACATCTTTGTAAGGATCAAGTGAGATGCTATAATGAAAAGCATTGGAAGCAGTGGTCTGTGGATACAAATGCAGTTCATTAGAAACTGGCTCTCTATTCATTAGCATAAGAGAACATATTTCTCCTTCTGATAAGGAGAAAGGAAACCCCCTCCCCCAAAAGGTAGGGGGCAGCAATGTTGAACTTGATCCTCCATTTTATACAAAGATATTAATGTCACAGTGACTCAATTACTGAAGATTTCTAGGACTTTCTGTGGTCTCCCACCGTGCAACTGCCAAGTTAATGATAATATTTATTCTCATCTTGTTTTCAAACATTTATTCCTGATGCTGAGTTTAATACACTAAAATTCAGTCATGCTTGTCAGTAAGCTTGTCCAGAATCTAACTGGACTCATTATGTTACCAACTTTGGTAAAAAAAAAATGAGGTCCACACTGTGAGAAGGCACGCTGTGTATCAGCCAGCTTGCACATGGGGTCTATTGCATTGATGGAAGCCCCAAAGCATTGTGATTCCATTCTGAACACGAGCACACATTTTCACCAACTTCCCGAAGTGCTCATGAATACCATATGAAATGGGTACAGATCAGAACTGGAAACACAGGGTATCCACCACAGATAAACCCCTCAGGACCAATATAGGAGGGGAAGGGGAAGATGGGGGAGAAAGGGGGAACTGATCTCAAGGAGCTACATACAACCCCCTCCCTGGGGCATGGACAACAGAAAAGTGGGTGAAGGGAGACATTGGTCAGTGTAAGGCATGAAAAAATAATAGCAATTTATAAATTATCAAGGGTTCATGAGGGAGGGAGGGTGGGGAGGTTGGGGGGGTGGAAATAAGAAGCTGATACCAAGGGCTCAAGTAGAAAGAAAGTGTTTTGAGAATGATGATGGCAACAAATGTACAAATGTGTTTGACACAATGGATGGATGGATGGATGGATTGTGATAAGAATTGTACGAACCTCCCGTAAAATGATTTAAAAAAAAAAGAATATATGTGAAGGCTGGCTTCCGTACCGCACTGTTTTGTCAGAAATGACTTGATTTGTTTGTTGGCTTCTTCAAAGCTTATTTAAGCATTGCACTTTTAAATCCTTTGACTTTAGACCTCTAATTGCTTAACATCACTTCAACCTGGTGATCTACTTTGGAAAATTAGCAGTGATTCCCTGTGGACTGCAATAGAAGCATCTGATTGTGCATGAGATCTAAGGAATATATTTGTTTTCAGTAAAAAGCAGTTCTATCAGTGTGCTACCATTAATGAGAAATAAAAAAGAAAGTGAAGGTTAATGACCAAAGTTTTGGGGGGGAAGCAAAGTAACCCAGCTCTGTCTTTCTCCAGTGAGAGCAAACCATCAATGAAAGGCAGAGAGGGGTGAGGGCAAGAGAAGAGGGTTTATAGGAGGAAGAGAGGGAAGAAATCGAGGATATGATGGGAAAGGAGGGAGAAATTGGAAAGTATAACTGTACTTCCAACAGACATTTCTATTTATACAATGACGCTTGAGAAGAGGATCAGGAGAGAGTGATTATCAGAGAGTTAAGAACACTTAGAACAATCCGCAGTGCTGACAACAACGACTGGAGACTAATCTCAGCCCCACTGGGAAGAAAAAAGCTCTTCATTTTCAAAATACTAGAAAATCTTGGAAGGTTATCAATATTCATTCATGGGAAAATAACACTATAAAAAATAGGGCAAATTTTATTTGGCTTAAATTTAGTTCATTTTGTGATTTACCTAAGATTTGGATGGGGGGTCTGAGTCAAGAGATAAGGGCAAGATCTTGTGTCACAATTCCTATTCCAGGTGAAGAGTGTTTAGTCCACTAAGAGACCTCATCACTGCTGGTCGTGATTAGGATGCCCTGCTGTGCCCATGTGCTGTTCCCAGTCCTATTGGACTCCTGGGCCAGCCAAGCACCACCTCCCATCACCAACAAGGGTATAGGAGCAAATCTGATCATGAAATAAGTCTAGTAGTATGAGGTACTAATCTTGAGAAACGATTTACTCCTGCTTCATTTCTGTGGCCATATTCAGATTGTAGCTTTTCCCTAGGGAATGTGTGCTAGAGACAGTTAACAATATATTGTGTTTGGAGCAACAGGACAATGTTGTACTCTTGCTGGTCCAAGCTTTCTGCTTGCAAATAAACTTTTCTGAGTCTGGGCATATATTTTGTTATTGCTATAGCTCACAATGAAGCAGCTCACACACAAAGTGGCCCAAAGAACAATTTGGAACTGAACTTAAATAAGTCAATAGGAGTTGGGAACTGAAGTTTTTCATTGACCAAAAAAGATGGCAATAAGGAACTTGTGTCACAAATGGTGATGGGGGATGGTGCTTGGCCTTAATGTGAACATCATGTGGGGGAGATACATCACTACTATTCCTTAACCAGACAAAATACATTTTGTGTACAGAATTCCTAGGCCCATGAGATTATCACCTAAAATCTTAGAAGTCCTTTTGGAAGCATTGTCTAAGCCTATTCAAATTCAGTTCCACTTATCTCCAAGTGCCTTTCCTACATTTAAATAAAACATTTGAGAGATATGTAAACGGGAGCTAAGTAAAGATTAAAACTTAAAGGGAACCAAACATGCTCAGCAAACCGTTCCTTAGGGAGACATGAAAAAATTTGCAAACCTAGTCAGTGGACAAATGCCTCGGTATTGGGCTAAGGGAAATGTAGACAATAACCGTTTACTTAAATATCTCTAGAGAAAATTCCTTGGGCATACTTCATGCTCCAAGAAGTTTGGAGCGCTGCCAGAAAACTAGATTACATGGAAGAAAGACTGATAGTGGGTTAGCACTATTGTATCTGTAAGAAGTGAGCATGGAGTATGGGTTCCTGAGGCAAGAAGACTGAGGAACAGAGGAAATGTGTCAAGATGTCTGTGTTTTTCGAGTGGGAGCCTTTGGAGGAATGAAAACTTAATGGAAAGAGGAGCAGAGGAACCTTTCATTGTTATTACTGCATCCTTAGAAAGAAGACCAGTCACGGGAAAGGCCATTTCCCAAATGACATGTTTTAGCTCCAGTAAAAAATTGAGTCAAAGCATAAATGTATCATGATATTTGGGCATTCACTGTACCATCAGTTAAATGATGCCC